AGAAACTCGGATCTTAATTAATTAAGCCGTATTCGAGATAATGTTCCAACATCAAATGTAACATCAGATCTTACATCTTTGAACAAAAATTCATTTAATGCAAAACAAAGTGGCAAATCTCTCACTTTATTATGGAGAGTTAACCAAGATTTTCGTGAATTGGAGGACTATCGAGATAAAGTGGTCATGAAGAATTCAGATGATGTTGAAGTATACTGAAAATCAATTGAACGACAGAGTCCACATATTTCTTGTTGGCTTAGACAGAGTTTTTGACCAAGTTTGTGGAGAGATTCTACGCAAAGACCCAATCCCAAATTTAGAATAGTGTTATTTTTTGGTTCGTCATGAAGAAGTACGGCGTACCATTTTGAATAAGGAGGCGGAAGATTTTGGGGTTGTTCTTTTGCATTTTTAAGTTATGGTGACTTGAGTGATGATTTTAAGTTGAGTTTGAGTTATAATTTGAGTTGATATTGTAACTTGAGTTTGTGTTTGGATGTGCATATTTGAGTTATGATTTGAATTGAAAATCTTTTTGAGTTTGTGTTTGGATGGGTTAAATTTATATTTAGATAGTATTTTAATAAAAACTCAATAGTAATGAAAATTTTTAATAGGGTATATAGGTGGGGTTTTATTCGTCTTTTTATTGTGAATGCATAAAAAAAATCATCTCAATCAGAATTAAAACGAAAAAGTTATGACATTTTTAAGAATAAAAAAAATACTATTCATTAACTTGAGTTCGAGTTTATGAATTCGAGTTGAAGGGAAAACTTAAACTTGAGTTCAAACTCAAATTTTATAAAAGAACATGAACTTAAATAAAGTTGTAACTCGAGTTCAAATTTTTTTGAGTTTCATTACAAAAGAACAACCCCTTTGAAGCTTCGGCATTGATAACTCAAAATCAACCCAACCAAAAATGACTTCCTCAAAATCAACAATCAAGATTTGACATGTCCACCCTCAAATGCACCCATTGTAACCAAACTGGTCATACAAAAACCCATTGTTTTGAAATAATTGGGTATCCATAATAGTGGAACAAAAATCGCGGGGTGGAGTTTTATTCGTCTTTTTGTTGTAAACATATAGAAAAAAGCATCTTAATCGGAATTAAAATAAAAAAATTAAGGTGTTTTTAATAATATAAAAAATATTGTTCTGTAACTTAAGTTTGAGTTTAGGAACTTGAACTCATATTTTAATTCCAAACACAAATTCAAACTCAAATTTTACAAAAGAACATGAATTTAAATAAAGTTATAACTTAAGTTTAAATTTTTTTAAAATTTAAATGCAAATGAACAATCCATAAGACTTTCTATATAGAAGCCTAACTGTTTATAAGAACTCATAAACAATCATATTTAAACAAGAGGGTGCATAAGAGACCGGAGAGTATCTCGAGCAACGAGATCTCAATATGATACTATATTCTACACTCCGACCAATATAACTTTTGTTTGAGTTAAACATTGTTACATAAATAAGGATCATTCTTTAAACTTTTCCTACATTTGGAATTTCAATGTAGGAAGGTCTGAACAATGACATTATTGATAAGACAAAAAGAAAATGTTTGTTTATGAATAGGTAATGGCTACGGTACATAAGCACGGGAGCACAAAAAGCATGACACTTATAAAGTCGATGATAAATATCAAAATGTGGGTTTTCTTTGCATGGGTATGATCGCCATTAAAAAGTGTTTTCCATGAACAACCATTTTTTCACTTCCTCATCAACAGCCTGCTTACTTCACTACAAAGCATGCTCTCATCCTTCTTTTATTATTTTTTTCTAACTCCATTAAAATATGTCTACTGAATAATATTTAAAAAATTACTCCTTGATAATGAAAATGAGAAATAGATACAAAAATGCTATTCATGACATAAGACGGGTGGCGATTTTAAGTTATATATTTTCTAATAAGATTAAAAGGTGGCATTTTTAGTCCAAAATTAGTACCGTGAGACAAAACAAACGAAATATGTAATTACTGATATATAAGGTCAATTTGCATCCATGTCAATGGTTGAAAATTAAAAATAGACTATTGCCGAAACATATAGATATAGAATGGAGCTAAGATCTATTTCACATTAAAAAAAAAAAGACATTCTCCAGCACGCCAGCATACTGATAGATTAGATTTTATATTCGTCAGATCTGTATAAAATCACATAAAAATAAAAAAATACGTAAATCTAACAGTTAAAAAAATTTAATTTATCAGTACGTTAAGTGTACTAGAAAATTTCCTTAAAAAAAAGTAAAATGATTGATTAAGGTATGCAAATGTCAGAGAGCTTTTTTTGATAGAACAAATGTAAGAGAGCTAAGCATGCTTTTCATGCGAGCAAGCCGAGGTATTAAGTAAACAAATTAACACGCTTGTACAAAACTTAAACTATAGCTTAACCCATACTATAGATTAGGAGACTTCGTGCACACTTGTACGGTTTAGGATATAATCATTGCCAATTAGAGATAATGTTTTTGCTTCCAATAAGAGACATACTTGTACAAAAGCAACAACATAACTTTTTTTGCTAATCAAGCAACAACATAACTTGTAATGATGTTTTAGGTGCCTCCCTCCATTTTTACCCTCTCAAAATACGTGGAATAGATTGTGTTTCTTCTGATTTTTAGGTTGCGTTGCATAATTCATAACTCAATAAAAAGCCCCAAATCGAAAATAAAGTACAGAAAAACTCTAGGTAGTTATAATTGATAAGTTAAAACAACCCACGTTCTCTTCCCAATCCATTAGTACCTCATCAACAAGGCTTTTCCAATTTGATAGGAAAAGGAGGCATCCAATAATTACATCCAAAACATTAGATAAACCACTTCAATGAGTGGTTCTCTTCACTTTCCCATATTGAGTTATTGACACCATCATAGGGGATGAATATTCTTCCTAGGTAGAAAAACTATAAATAAATAAATTAAAGAGGGAAAAATAAAAGTGGTGGCCTATAATTTTGTGCTTCATACCTTGAGTGATGAGTCTGGCTATCACAGTGTCCAGTTTCCCATCACCAACACTTTTGAAAAGTCCCTTATCATGCTCTTTCTTAAAAAAAAATAAAAAAATAAAAAAATAAAAAAATAAAAAACTCCTTTTTGCTGTACCCTCTGAGTCTAACCCATTCATTCCCCACGCACACACCCATTACACCACGTGGCAAGCCTACCACACAAATTGTCACCACCAGCTGTTTGTCACAGCCTTGTTTGCCGGGGGATCATGGACCTGCCACAGTCTCACCACCCTTCCACACACACACACAACTCAATGCGGCAAAGGTAAATGGTAAAATACAAAACAATAATTTAACAACAGTAAATATTTAAGAGATGTTTGGTTGAAGGATTTAAATTATGATTTGAATTATGATTTATAATTTTTTATAATATTTTCTCTCATAAAAAATATACGTAAATTAAAAATAATTTTAATAATATGATTCTAATTCATGAACCAAAACGTCTCCTTATTTTAGTTATTTTTTCTCGAAAAAATAAGGGGGTGTTTGACACATGGGTTCAGGTTGTCTAATCCTATGAGCCCAACCCGAAATATGATTCTAATTAATGAACCAAAACGTCTCCTTATTTTAGTTATTTTTTCTCGAGAAAGTAAGGAGGTGTTTGACACATGGGTTCAGGTTGTCTAATCCTATGAGCCCAACCCGAAATGTTGTTTTATAGGTTACTTTGGTAACTTTATTCAGCTTGTGCCAGTTGAAACTGACCAATTCAGAATTTACCTCCCCTTCCAAATATTCTTCCAATCTGAACCCATTTGATACAGAACACAAATTGAGAGTTTTGGGGATGAAAAGTTTTGGCCTGGAAAGTCATGTGTTCAAACAGAATGTGTGTAGATTGTACAATAAAGAATAGTTGTTTACATTTTATTGTAACTTTCTATTAGAAAGCACATCAAATCGATTTATATATAAAACAAACAAGATTTATTGATTGGATCTATTATTAAAGATAAATAAAACATAGAACACAAGTGTCGAGAGCTAATAAAAAACAAATCCACTCGATATGTATAAAATTAAACATGATTAAATATCGTCAAAAAGAGCCATTGTAATTAACAAATAAAACTAATCAATTGAGATCAAAATCTAAATGTTGTGAACAAGCGGACTAACCTAAAAACAAATTTAGTCGTACATCAACATACATTATTCATAAATCACACTAGGACTCAATCCGTATTTTTTTTTTCTAGTTTTTGATTGTCATATGGTTTATGGAGTTAGTGAGATGTTAACTGAAAAATTACCGGCTACAGGCAGTTGTCGGCTGGGATGGGTGACTGAGTGGTCGCGACGCCGCACCAACCTGCCAGAAGAGACAGCACGCGCGGTGACTGACTAAGGGAACAGCAGGTCACCAGCCCACTTCACCTGACCTTCCTTACCTCTCCACTGTACTCACTGCCGAGCGCGTGGCCGTAGTTTATAGGCTGGTCCGGTTGATACCCCACATTCACCTCGGTAACTCCCAAACTGCACGCCTTTCTTCAACCCAACTAACAACACCCCCATTTTCAATACCTGCGCGTGACACTCACTCTCCACAACTATCTCCAATATGTTTCCCTAACCGACCATGGAAAGTGTACTACACGCGCTGTTGCATTTAAAATATTTCCTTAAAATGAAAAGGAAAAACTATTTGTAGTAGGAGTAGGGGAACTACGACCCTTTAAATCCCAGGTGGAATTCCCGCTGTTGGACGAACAGAACAACGACCAAAAACAACAGAGAAACCTTAAACCCCTGAAAACAATCCCAAAAAAAAGAAAGAAAAATATCGGGTCTTCAAAGAAACTTTCAGTTGTGAACAGTAAAGTACTAGCTAGAAACGATACTTTGTTAATTTGGTTTGCTTTCTGTTATTTTTGTTGTGTTGTGGGGTTACGGTGGAGAATAGCCAAAACGGGTCTGCCTTTGTGGATGTTGGGGTTGGGCGCGGATCGGTTGCGAGCCGACATGAATCGTTTGCTCGCACTTCTCTTTCACCAGGTATACTCTTTACTTATACACACGTTTTTATCTTAGATTAAAGGAGTAAGAGATATGTAAAACTGATTACATATATATATATATATATAATGTGTGTGTGTGTGTGTTTTTTTGTTTTATTAGGGAGTATTGGACGAGCAATTCTTGCAGTTACAGCAGCTTCAAGACGAGAGCTCACCCAACTTCGTGTCCGAGGTTGTCAACATCTACTTCCATGAGTCCGAGAAGCTCTTACGAAATCTTAGAGGCCTACTGTGAGTTTCATTAATATATATGTTACATTACATATGTTCACTTTGGTTTTAATTGGGTTTTTTACTGATTAATTGTACAAGTACTTGTAAATGGGGGGTTGTTGGTGTTGATGGTCAAGTATAATTAAGTGTGTGTGTGTGTGTGTTTTTTTTTTTTTTTTGTGTGTTTGGAAAGAATGGAAAAGGAGTTCGCGGACTACAAGAAAATGGGAATCCATTTGAATCAGTTCATGGGAAGCAGCTCGAGTATAGGAGCCAAGAGAGTCAGAAATGTATGCGTCGCCTTTCGCGCCGCTTCTGAGCAGACCAACCGTGCTGGGTTTGTCTTCTTTTCTCCTCTATAATCGTGTTCATATATATATATATATAATCTAATCTTCTACTTTATACTCTCTCTCTCTCCTGTTCTTCTTCAAGTCATGTACACACACGACACAATTTTTTATTAGTAAATTCTAAAACAAGTTTGGCTCACTTGTGATTTTGAGTTGTAACAGGTGCTTGAGAGCTTTGGAGCTTCTGGAACATGAATATTGTTACCTCAAGAACAAATTGCACGAACTTTTCCAAGTAAAATGCCACAAAACCATATGAAATCTCTTTCCTATATTACACCTTTATATATATATATATATATATATATATATATATATACACCATAATAATCTTCTTGATTGATCTAACCATAACTTCCATATATTTTTATGATACAGATAGAGCAGCAACGAGCCTTGGCAGCTGGAGTTAGATATCCGATGCAAAATTAGAGCAATTAGAACCAACCCAAATCACTCCTTCATTTGGTTTCTTTTTGTTTGTGGGTTTGTGCTCAAATCCAAAACGATCCAATAGTACTAAATGTCACTGTTTATCTACCCACCTCCACCTGCCACTAGTGATTGTAGAGTAGTACTTGTTTTTTTTTTTTCCCTTTTATTTGTTTTTGTTGGTTGGGACTGTCTTGAATATGCCTGGTTGTAACTCTGAAAGCAAAATGAAAATCCACTTTCGCTGTTGGGATTCTCATATCAAAGTTTTGAATAATATCAGCTTTAAATTTTCATCACTTAATGCGCGAGTACTCCATGTAGAGAGTTGTCACTTCTCAGAGCTATAAATATTATACACATTTGTGATTGTGATCTTCAATGACACTTATAACTATATAGCTAAATAGCCCTGGCCTGACCCTTTCGCCAGTAGTACAAATATCGGCTACGAACTATCTCTTTATTGATCAGTTAAATCCCATCAATCAAAAATCAATCAAATACGTCTTATTGAGAGCTGTTTTTTAATCGTGATCGAGTTTCAGAGTCAAAAGTGGTCTGCCCTTTTGACTTGATGCAAAATTCATGCTTTTGTTGGGACTGACTTTTCGGTCAGGGCGGCGGCCATATATAGCTACTTTGATTAAACTGATTGTGTAATAAAGTGATTACACAAAAAAAATACACTTTCTTTCACTTAATCTGCAATCCCTTTCTTCACAATACTGCTTTATATATGTCGGCTATTTACAGGCTTTTTAGCACTTTATTTGTTCTCGTGAGTCTATTTCTTCCCTCTCCTTTTATTGTTTTTTTCTTTTTCTTTTTTGGGTTGGAGGGGACACTTGAGACGAAGGTGGCGGTTGGAGAACGCTCACCCCGGATGAGTCACGAACTCTTAAATTAAATTTTGCTTTGCATGCTATTAAAAAATATAAATAAATCATAATAATAAGGGAGTTTTTAGGATAGAATTAGAAAAATAAACTTCCAGCTTCTCTACTTTTTAACTGTCTTATTGATAAATATAATGTGATTTTGATTAAATTTAATGATAAAATTCTCACCAGTAGAGACCTATCAAAAAAAAGTTTCTAATAATAATAATAATAATAATAACAACAACTAGAACCCAATTTATTTATGAAGCATAATCAATGGTAGAAGGCCGTACATTGAAATACAAACTAAGGAGGATGATTTCTTTTAGTACGGCACAACGAGAAAAGTGAAAACACCACAACTGGTATGTATTATACTGACACATATACAGTAATCGTATCATTAATTATGATAAATTACATCTTGTTGCTAAATTCTTTTTGCTATAAGAAAAAGAAAAAAAAAACGATGCGTACTGTCAAAAGAAAATGATACCTAATTAGGGTATTGAACAAAAAATTGATGTATACATAAAAATCCTTCGTAAATATATTTTTCAAAGTTAGAAAGATCATACATCTAATCTCCACATTTAATGGTATATAGTGGTATATATTCTTCCAAGTGAAAATTTTAATTATTTTTGTTTAAATTTTATTCTGAAATCATGTACAGTGTCCGCCCCACCGTCAAAAAAAAAGGAAACACAAATGACTGCGGAATTATTTATGGCTCGTTTAGTTCGCTGATTCGAGTTTTTAATTCGAGTTAAGATGTAACTTTGTGTGAGAACTTTTTACTGTAGTAAAAAAATTAGATGTGATTATTTTTTTCGAGAGCTTTTTACTGTAACAAAACTTAAATTTTAAACTCGAATTGATAAAATGAACGAGACATTAGTAACCCTTTAAAATTAAACAGTATAAGTAACACGTATATACTTACAATTGACCAAGGATAACTAAGAGAACGTTTAGTTTATGTATTCAGAATCATTCTCATTTTACGTGTATTTTTTATGAGAGAAAATACTGTAGAGAACCATAAATCATGATTCAGAATCATAGACGAATATAGTAAACAAACGTCCCCTAAATAAATTAGTATTGCTTCAACAACGAAAATAAATTAATATTGATATGCATTTAATTATATGACTTAATTTAAAATTGAAAAGAAGCGCAAACAAAGCTTTCAGATTGAAAACCCAATGTGAATTACCTAAAAAAAAAAAAAACTATTATTAAATGTGAAGAATGAACATCGACAGAGAGAGTTGTCAATGCTCAGATACAATCACTAGTCACTAGTCAGTACCATATAACTTAAATCATGTCCCAAGAGCTTAATCTCTGATACCATGTTTCAAAATAAAGAACAAAATCTTGATAATGAAGAACAAAAGAAAGAACAAGGAGAAAGAGAGGGAGAAATACAAAGAAACGGAAAACTTAATGGACTACATCTTTATTAGCTTATATTATTTTGGAGAAAGGATACAGAATATATAGGTAAGCAAACAAAAAATCCCTAAATCAGGATACCAAATTCCTAAATCAAGAAGAAATTATTGATAACTTAATCCTACAGCTGTAGATATTATTAACCGATCAATCTCATGAATTACGGGAGCATATTTCAATACTCCCCCTCAAGCTGGTTCATCCAGCTTGTAAAAATTCAAATCTTGAATTGAATCGCGGGTGTATACACTCTTTGATGCTTCAAGACTTCAGCCCACGCAATTTTTCTTCAAGATATATTCACAGATCAAAAGAACATTAACTGCGCTCGAACTTATAAAATCATCAACTGCGCTCGAACATGCAGAGATTTATTCAAACAGAGTAAGAGGTTTCACACGCCTGGTTTAAGTTCACAATAGCTTCACAGCGTACCAATTTTTAAAAACTTCACATGCATGCTCAAATGAGGTTTGTTTGTGTGTGTGTATATTAAAAGAAACGTATCTTTAATCAAATTTCCAATTTTTTTAACTTGTGTTTCAGTAGTACATATACAGATACGGCTACAAGCTTTCTGGCAGTATTTTTCTGACAAGTTGCATGAGATGATGAGCAAAAGAAAACCGGGCTAGAAAAGATGATACGACCTAATGGGCCATCATAGAAAAGAGCTTTGGAGCCCTGTTTTTGTGAGTTGGGATGACCCATTTTAGCACAAATTCTATCGTTTATTTTATTTTCTTTTCCTTTTCTTTTTTTTTTTTTTTTGGCAGAAGGAAAACATAAAGGATTTTAAGCTTGTTGAACTAAAAAATAACAATAATTGTCTGCTTAATAGTACCCTCTTAAAATAAAGTGGATTTTTTTTTTTTGTTTTGAAATAAAGTGACACCCTATTAAGCTAATAGTTAAGGAGACGTTTGGTTCATGAATTAGAACCATGTGATTATAATCATTTTTTATTTACGTGTATTTTTTGTGATAAAAAATATTGTAACGAATCACGAATCATGATTCAAATCAGATGACGAATACCCAAACCAAACAACCTCTAAATGTAAATTAGCTGCGGGATACAAAAATTTGTATTTTATTTTATCGTTGTATTTGTCTACACATAATTTACGTCGTATATGATAAAAATCGAGATAGGTCGATTATCTCTAGATGCATGACAACGTACGAAAAAGAGAATGGAAAGGCTAGTTTAAGCTAACAAGCATGCAATCACTTGGGAATTGCAAATTTGATGCTACTAAAAAAAAAAATAATAATAATTTAGCTCTATCTAGGGCCTGAAGTGCCTGAAAATGGTCTAGGATTGTAGCTAACTTGTAGAGTTGTAGTAAAGAAAATGGTCTTTCATAAGATTTAATGGAAGCAATCAACAAAAAAAGAGAGAGAATCAATTGGAGTTATTTTCCTTAATTAAAGTTAAACCAAAATATAGTTGAAACTTAGGACCCGTTTGTTTCCATTTTTATTTTCCTTTTTCATGGTTTCCGAGAAAGAAAAATTGAAACGGGAAATAAAAATGTGTTTGGGAAGAATTTATACCAAAATAAAAAACAAAAACGTTTTTAGAATTTTTTCAAAAAACTCCATTTTTTTTAAAACGGATTTCATCCGTTTTTCATTTTTCCTTTTCATTTTCTTCTCTCTCTTCTCCACTGCCCACCCCCCCACTCTTCTGTGACTGCACCCCCCCTGCCGTCTCAAAACGAAACTTAAACCAAGAGTTCATCAAACCAAACCAAGAACAATTTCACCAAAGCATAATCCGAAAATCAAGAGTTGGTTTCTTAAAGAATTTTACCTCAATTTTTCCTTTGGTGATGAAAACTCGTGAAAATCCTCTTTGGTTCAACTCTTGGTTGAAAACTCCCTTAGAGAAAGAGTGATAAATTTAGGAGAAAGAGAGAAGGAGAAAGAGACGAGTGAAGTAGAGAGGGAGCTGGGGAGAGTGACGAGAGATAGAGGGAGAGGGTGATCTGTGAGGGAGAGAAGGAAAGGAAAAAGTAAAAGAAATAAATTTATTTAATATATTATTATTTAATATATTTAATATTATTATTTATTTAATATATTATTAATTTAAATATTATTACATGTTTTTAAAAATTAAACCACCAAACACAATTTTAGTTTTTTTTAAACTGAAAACAATCTCAGAATAAAACTACCAAACGTATTTTCAAAAATGATTCTAAAATAAAAATAAAAATGTTTTCGTTTTCATTTTTATAAAAAAATAAAAACGTTTTGGAATCAATTCCAAACGCACCCTTAATGTCTAGGATTAACTTGGAAATTAGAAAACGAGCATAAGTGAAAATTTTTGCGTCATTATAAGGTGCGGTAAAAATGAAGAGATCAGTTAATAGGGGAACATATATAGAAATTTAGAATATATGAAAGTTGGTCAAATTAATACAAAATCCAATGGGGAGAAGGAATTGTGGACATGAGGTTGTATTACCAAAACCTCTTATTTGCCTCCTCCCATTCTCGGCAACCACTATTCTCCCTCTTTCTTTTCATGCGTAGATATGCTTCGTTACACATTTTGGATATACGTATATATATAGAAAAGATTGGTAAGCGGGTTCCGACAACCCAAGATATGCTTCTCATGAACAAACAGAGTAAATTTAGAGAGAGAGAGAGAGAGAGAGAGTAATTAAAATGTGATGAACCTTCCCGTATCGTGATCATGGTACTTTATGGTTAAGATATCGTTAGAAGTCTAATTAAAAATAATC